AGGAGGAGGAGGAGGAGGAGGAGGAAGAGGAGGAGGAGGAGGATGGTGAGATGGAGGAGAGTGGAGAAGGAAGGAGGAGGAGGGGGAAGGGATAGGAGAGATTGGGTCTGACTTCTTGCGCAGTTCTCCGTCTGGGATGGTCAAGACTGGGTCAAAGTTGGATCCTCCTCCTCCATCTCTCACTCAGGTGCACTCCTTGTCTCCCCTCCTCTCCTTGGGCCCTGACTGTGAGCGCAGGAGCCGTCACTTTCCTCGACGGCCTCCATCCCACGTCCATCGAGAGGCTGGAGGTCCAAGACTTCCGCATAAAAGGTCCCCGGCTCGTCCCCATCATAGACGGGCTGGGGAGGCTGCTCCTGTTCGGGATGCTCCTGCTATCGGGGGTGGGAGGAGCGATGGAGAAACATTTCTTCGGGCAGACGATCCTCAAGCTCTGCCACCCGATGATCGCCGTGCTCTTCCTCGCCGAATTCTTCGTCCTCTGCTCCTCTGCAGGGAAGTGGACGACCCTCCGAGCGCTGCTCTACTTCGCCTTCCACTGCATCCACTCGTTGCTGATCGCCAGGAACATGGTCTGCAACAACATGCTCTTCGGAGGAGCCCGCCACTTCTTGTACGCCTGCTGCTTCCGCTCCTTCTCCTGCTTCGGCAGGAACTGCAGGGACTCATACTTGGACGGCCTCGCCCTCCTCCTCCTCGGCTCAGCCCTCAAGTTCATGAGCTGGAGGACGCATAGGATGGCGCAGCAGCAGATCCAGTGCGACAAGGAGCGGTACGACGAGATGTGGAGGTACATGGTGGAAGACATCCGTACGAAGATGCAGCTGCAGAAGCTTGAGTTCCTCGTCAGAATCATCAATACTGCCAAGGATGGCACCGTCAGGAAGGACAAGGGATCCCCAAGGAGCTGGTGGCTGGGCAAGCCTGCCAGTGCTGTCACCTCCGTCCGACAGAGAGGAAAGGACGGCAGCCCGGTCACGAGCCTCAACGCGCTGTACAGGCAGGCGGAGAAGCTGGACCCGTTCCTCAAGGACAAGACTCAGTGCTGGTCGGCTCTCTCCGGTGGCTTCCTCGTCTCCAACGGAGAGGCCGCAGAGGGGAGGCAGCATCCTCGTTCCCCGGGCCTCGTCCGGCTGGACTCAGCAGGGGCCCAGCAGTCAGGGATCAAGTGGGCGTCGCTGAAGCCGATCAATCGGGCGGTGGAGAAGATCATGAGGTGCTATGGCGGTGACGTGTCGCTGCTTGTCGACATGTGTCGTCAGACTATCGTCTTCGACGACGTGCTCAGTCTGACCGAGTGCCTCCGCAACATGACCAACGACAAGGATGTGCAGTTCGTGCAGATCAAGAACACCCTGCGGCACAACTACGACTCGAGCAGGAGCGCGGGCTACAGGCACGTCGCCCTGAATCTCCGCATCGACAACGAGGAGACGAGAAGGCTCGGGGTTGACCGGCACGTCTGCGAGCTCCAGCTCGTCCTCCTGCAGTTCTACGAGCTCAAGAGCGATAAGGGACATCGCAGGTACATCCACTTCCGCAACACCATGGGCGAGTGAAGGCCAACGGTCAACATGGTAGAGCTTCTCCCTCCATCTCTTCTTTCTTCGCCTCCTCCTCCTCCTCATTCCCTTCCTCCTCCCCCTGCCTCCCCCCCCCCTCCCCTTCCTCCTCCCTCCCTCCCTCCTGTGACCTCAAAATCAGCGACGACGTAAGGTCTTCCGGCCTCCGGTGAAAAAGTCAGCAGGGATGGGGTTTACCCCGCTACTCCTTCCCCCCCCCGATGATGAAAGGAGCAGGGATGGGGTCGCTGGATGGCTGGCTGCT